TTTATCCAATTCCACCTCCTCGCTTTCTCCAAACAACGGCATAATTTATACTGTTTCAAAATTTCATTATAATACTTTTTATCCCTTTATCCAATTCTACCTCGTCGCTTTCTCCAAACAATGAATTCAATGTTGTTTCCCTCACGACGAAGGTCAAGTATCACAAGCTTGTCACTTTTAACAACATGATCGTTTTCACCCTGAAGGACCTGACCATCTTCTCTACCGTACTGGCTCGCACAACCATATTCAGTTGTAAGGTTCCACATCGTACCAAACCATTTGCTGATGTACGTGGAGCTCGAGAAGCTTTCAGTCGAGACTATGAAAAAAATTAAAAAGGCTTACAAACATCTCACCGTCTAGCTTTTAACGGTCCAAAAGGGTATCATCGGCCATGAAATGGACGGAGGGACGAAATTGAGCACTTTTTGAAAAGCAGAGGGAGAAGGGGCGATTTCATAATAAAAAGGTTAAATTGAACTTTTTTTTGGTAAGGAGTGACAGTGGGCTTTAACCCGCACAAATATCTAATTCTCGTGTTCCACTGATCCACGTGATAAACACAAAAAAGATAAAAAAATAAATAAATAATTCTCATGGTCACAATCCCAATGTCTTTAAGAGAAAAGATAATACTTTCCGTCATTTCTCACTAGAGAACAGTAAATGATCAATAATTCCTACATATTTTCCAGAAAATCAATCATAGCACAAAGACCATACTTTTCAGGATTCCTCACAGGATAACAGTAAATGATCAAATAATTTCTTCATATTTTCCACAAAACCAATCATAGCATAAAAGACCATGCTTTTCACGATTCCTCACAGGAGAACAGCGAATGACCAGTAATTTCTTCATATTTTTTTTCCAAAAAGAATGCAGAGGGAATCTTGGCCGTCCTGCAGTGGGCCTCTCCTTGTTTAATTTTGCTTTTGCCCAATTAACGTAAATTAATTGCGTAATTAAGAAAGGAAATGATAAATGGGACAAATAAATGGGACGAATTCATCGTACTAATGATCTAGTTTCTGTTACATTATTAATGTTATTTTGCATATAAAATTGTGTTCATTTGTGGAAAAAGATGTAAAAATTAGGAGTAGAAGTATTTAGTTATATTTTTT